AACAGGAAGAATGTAAAAAACAAAGGAAGGGAAAAGAAAAAAGTAAGAGAACATGAAAACAACAGCAGCCAATGGGCCGAGCGTGGTGGCACTCACTTACAATTCCAGCATTCAGGAGACTGAGGCAGGAGGATCGCTGTCAAAGCTGCCCTGACTATATAGTGAGAACCTGTCTCAAAAAAAACCGACAAATAAAAAACAAATAGAAAGAAGCGCTGACCATTTAGGAGCACAAGAAGTCTGGATTCTGGATACTGGATGGGAGGATTCATGATCTAATTGGAGAGGGGTACCTCAAGGATCCACAGAGTTTGAAGAAAATCTATTTGCAGGTCTTCAATTTCCGGTCTTCTCTTTACCAAATCTGCTTTCCTCTTTCACAATTTCACTTTCCTGCTTTCAAAAGGAGGATTCACCGCCCAGCTCTCCACACTCTTACAATCTTGGACCACCCCAGGGTAAGCTCCTGGGTACAGAGTCACTTCAGCAATTTTTTTTTTTTTTTTTTTTTTTTTTTTTTTTTTTTTTGTCTTTTTCGGTACCCGGGATCAAACTCACGACTGCCTGCTTGCAAGGCAGGCGCTTATGCCGCTGAGCTAAATCCCCAGCCCTACTTCAGCAATTTGAGACTCTGTCACAGTAGGACTTTAGGCTCTGAGGAGCTACAAGCCCTTCTTGTATTGAGGTCAGGAGGTTTCTGAATCTTTGCTTTTAAATGGGAAGCAAAGAAGTGGCCGGGCGTGGTGACACACACCTGCAATCCCAGACTCCGCACTTGAAAAATTGCCACAGGTTGAAGACCAGCCTGGAGAACAAAGTGAGTTTAAGTTCCAGGCCGGCCTACAAGACCCCTGCACAGCAAGACCTTGTCTCAAAAACAAAAACAACCAAAACATCACTTATACTGTCTTCTCAGGTGTCTAACTATAAAATCGCATATTCTTATGCTTGAAAGTCTTTTATTGATCGCCAAATCATGCATCTCCACAACTGAAGCATACACATACATACTGATTTTTCTGTTTGTTTGAGACAGGGCCAATTCAGGCGGACCTTGAACACACTACGTAGCCCAGGTTGGCCTCGAACGTAGTGATCCTCTTACCTCAGCCTCCAAGAACGCCGGGATTACAGGCATAAGCCACCAAGCCTGGCACATGTTGGAGTTTTGAAATGTCTTAAAATTCAGGTAACCATGAAACTCTAAGTGAGCTGGGTGGGTAGCATACTCTGAGAGGCTGAGATAGGAGGATCACAAATTCAAACGCAGGCATTTTAGTGATTTACAGAGACCCTGTTTCACAAAACAAAACAAAAGGCTGGAGATGTAGCTCAGTGCTAAGGTCTTATCCTCAATCCACAGTACCACTAAATAAACAGGATTTAATTGTGTGTTAACATATTTGAATCCTGGAGCCTTCACACTGTTTTACATACCCTAACGTCCAATCCTAACCTTAACTCTTCCAATTTATTTATTTTTAACAGCTGTTTGTTTGTTTGCTTTAGGTATGGGGAATTGCACTTACAGTCTGTGCTTGCCAAGCAGGTGCTGTGCCACTGTGCTATATCCCTGGCCCTATTTATTTATTTTATTGTTTTTTTTTTTTTTTTTGAGACAGGGTCTCACTGTATAGTTCAGGCTGGCCTTGAACTCATGGCAATCCTCCTGCCTCAGCCTCCCAGGTACTGGCATTATAGGTATGCACTACCATTCCTAGCTCAAAGACAGTGTAATTGAGATAAATAAAAAAATTGAGATAAACAAATACAGGAGAAAAAATGAGATATAAAAATCTCTGCTAATGAATGAGGAATGTATTTATGTATTTTTCAAAGGATGGTTGTGAGTATCGAATCTGTAGAATTCAAGTCTTATATGATAGTTTTATTTTAAAACATCAATCCTTGGGGGCTGGGGATTTAGTTCAGTGGTTTAAGTGCCTGCCTGGCAAGTGCAAGGTCATGAGTTTGATCCCCAGTACCCAAAAAAAAAAAAAAAAAAAAAAAAAAAAAGAAATCAATCCTTGTAAAACATGAGGTTACACTGATCCTCTGTGATGATTAGGTTTTACAGTAATAAAATATATTAGATGTTGCTTAATAATGTGCAAGGAGCTGCATCCTTTTTATATATTCCTTTAGGGCCTCAGCGGGAAGAAGAAACAGAAGACCACACCACAGAGTAGAGTGGTATGGCCAAAGAGACAGAGACCTGATTGTGGAGATTCTTAGAAATCAGGGTTACACTCAGTGGTAATGAGTGTGTTCCAGGCTTTGGGGAGTCCTATGGTGACACATGGGGGCAGTTAAGGTAAAGTGTGACAGAGGGAAAGGAGGATCAGTCACCTTGATGCCTGAGTTCAACCTCTCCTGGGATTGGCACGGGAAGCTGCCTGCACACAGGAACATTCTTAGGGGGCAAGAGGAGATATTTTTCTGGACTTTTAAAATTAGAATGAGGGCTGGGGATTTAGCTCAGTGTCTTCAGCGCCTGCTTTGCAAGCACAAGGTTGTGAGTTCGATCCCTGGTGCCAAAAAAAACAAAGCAATAAAATAAAATAAAATTAGAATGTGCCACATGTGGTGGTGCACACTTGTAATCCCAGCAATTGCGAGGCTGAGGCAGGAGCATTGCTGCGAGTTCCTGAGTCCAGCCTGGGCTACAAAGTGGGTTCAAGGCCAGCCTAAACTGCATAGTAAGACTGTCTCAAAAAAAAAAAAAAAAAAAAAAAAAAAAAAAGGCTAGAAGGTAACTTCTGTGTTCTTTGCAACATGCTAATGGCGGAGGGTGTGTCTTGCCTTTGACGTCCTCAGAGAGATTCAGGACCAAGAGGAAAGCGGAAAGTACAGCTATTGTGGTCCCAGAACTGTCTCTGACACTGTCTCTCTGCCTCTCTGCCTCCATCTCTGGTCTGCAGTGAGCAAGGGGGGGAGGTGAATCTGGAGCACCGGAGGGTGCTGGTTCCTCTTGCCAGCCTCCGGAAGTGGCTGACAAAAGCTACTTCTCTGATCCTTGCCTGGGTAAGGGGAAGAACCAGCCACCAAGTGCACTGCCTGCAGGACACAGAAGCGGCGCCACCTGCTGGCCACAGCGGGATACGGCCGCGGCGAGGATGGCAAAGGACTTCAGAGCTCTCTGACCTTCCCTTTCGCCCCGCACTGCGAGTTATTCCGTTGCGCAATGATTGGGCATCAGAATGGGTATGGGATAGCTGAGATCCTGGCTGGCCTGGGAAGGGTGGCAGAGGCTTGGCAGAGACCGGTTTATCTCACTCAGGTGCCTCTAAATCGAGATGAAGATTCAGGGAAGCTGCTTTAGCCTGGGCTTGTGATTCAGGTAAACAGAGACGGATGAAAGCAGCACAGGAATCTTGGCAGAAGTAGTGGGGTTTGATAAACTACCGCGGGGCTGAGTGAGACAACCTGCAGGCCGTGCGGGCAGGAACAGCACCCTGGTCAGGCTGTGTGATGGTAGGCACCTGCACCCTACCTGGATACGGACACTGCTGCTTCCATACCCCGGGTCGCCTGGTGCTGAAGGCTGCTCTGACAGCTGCTGCCACGGCTGTGTGCGGCCAGGAGGAGGGGCTGCCGCTGCCTCTGCAGAATGGATTCTTTGGCACTCTGGCTTTCCACGGGTCTGGTTGGTGGAGCCCCATCCTTGAGGTTGTGCTATAGCTGCAAAGGAGGCTGGGAGCCAATGCTTGACACCTGTGGGTGCTAAGGTGGAGAGGGTCTAGGAGGCAGATGTGCCACTAGGGAATAAAACTCTTCGCTCAGGATATGGGACTATTTTCAATATAAAGATTTTTTTCCAGGGCTGGGGATTTAGCTCAGCGGCATAAGCACCTGCCTTGCAAGCAGGCAGTCGTGAGTTCGATCCCTGGTATCAATAAAAACGAAAGAAAAACAAAACAAACTAAAAAAATTTTTTTTTTTCCTCCCTTGGGATTATAGGCAGGTGCCACTATGCCCAGCTAGATGTTCGTGCTTAGAAAGCTGGGGCAGTTTGTGTTTCCTCCAGAGTCAGTGGGACAGAAGACAGAAAGATAGGGCAGGGAGGAGATGGGGGAGAGTTAGTGACCTCCAAGCTTCTCTTGGAAGGCCCTAGGGGTGAAGAATCAGCTCAACGGAGAGAACCTGAGTGTGTGCATGTGCACGCGCATGCGCGCGCGTGCATGTACGTGTGCGTGTGCGTGCGTGCGTGCGTGTGTGTGTGTGTGTGTGTGTGTGTGTGTGTGTGTGTAAAGGGCTTTAAAGAAGTTCCAGTGGGGCCAGGCATGGTAGTGCATGCCTGTAATCCAAGCATTCGAGAGGCTAAGGCAGGAAGATTATTTTGAGTTTGAGACCAGCCTGGGCTACAAAGTGTGTTCAAGACCCTGTCTCAAAAAGACAAAAAGAAATAAATACATTCATCACGGAAATTGTTACTTTCATATTGAACATCTTTAATTTACTTGGTACCGAGGATTGATCTCAGGGCCTTTGCACTGAGCCCGTTTTTAGTTTTTATTTTGAGACAGTGTCTCACTAAGTCGCTAAATTGCCCAGCCAGGCTCCAACTTGTGAGGTCCTCCTGCTTCAACCTTGGAGAGTGCTGGAATTACAGGCACGCACTTCCCTCCCCCACTCCTTAAAATAGGGACAGGATAGGGTAGGGATAATAAGTCCCTTTCAAGGTCTTAAAGACTAGTAAAGTTTCCTTACTGGAAAGATGAGGAGGTTGCATTAACCGACCGCTGAGTTTCTTTCTAGCTTTGGATTTCCTCCTCTGAGACTTGCTGGACTAGCTGGACGCGCCCTGGCGCTCCCCTGCTCCTCCCAAGCGCCGGCTTCGGCAAGGCTCCCGCAACCCGCGCCAGAGGGCGCTGCAGGCGAGCCCAGGGCAGCGTGCGCGGGGTGGAGCGGTGGGATCAGGGGAGTCTTTGGGAGGCACTGATTGGCCGCGGCGGGGCGGAAGGGGGCGTGGTGAGGGCGGGGCCTGGCTGCGCGCTGGCGTCACGCTGGCGGGGGCGGGGCCGGGCCCCGAAGCGTGTGACGCCGGGGAGCTGAGGATTAATGGGAAAAGTTTTGGCAGGAGCGGGCGGATTCTGCGGAGCCTGCGGGACGGCTGCGGTGTCGCGGGGGCCGGCAGGGACAGGTCAGTCGGGCTTGGGGTGGCGCGGGCGGGCGGCGGCGGCAGCGGGCAGGACCGCGGCGGTGGCGGCGGGGGCCGCGGTGCAGGCCCGCGGGGAGAGCGGGAGGCAGGGCCGGGCGGCGCCCTCTGCCCGCCGCGTCCCGCGAGCTGCCCGGATCCCGGGCCCGGGTCCCACGCGCTCCCACCGTGCCCTGTGCCCGCTGCTGGGCCTCGCGGCCTCGTCTCTTCCCACTCCTCCGAGAGCCGGGTCCCTGCCCTGAGGTCCTCGCCCGCTCCTGGACTTCTTTCCCCACCCCTGCCTGTGGTCCCCAAATCCTCTCCTCCCGCTAGGGTCCCCGTGCGGATCGCTCCTCTGTGTCGCTTGCTGTCCCTGTCCCCTGCCTTCACCCTGCCATCCTTGCCCGGAGCCTGCTGTCTCTCCGTCCCTCTCCCCGGCTCTGTCGCCTCCTTCCCACCCCCCTGCTCCTCGGGTATAAGGACGCTTTCCTTGTCCCGTGCTTGCAGTCCCTACTACCTAAGCCTCCCCACCCTGCCCACCTGCAGTGACCCTGTGTCTGCCCCCCTCCGATTTCCTTCCTGCCAGCCCTGTCCCCGCCACTACCGCCACCCACCCCTGTCTCCTCCCAGTTCTTTGGCGCTGGCTCAGGCAGCACGGGAGTTCCACGCACTCCTCTGGTTGCGTTTGACCTGCAGTGGAGGTGTCCGTGGGCTGGGATGGGCGTGTCGGGCCCCAGATGGCAGGGGCTCTCGGAGAAACCAGGTACTCTGTGAGACTGAGAAAATTTCCTAGGGTATACACCAGGGATAGTGTCCAATTTGCAGGCAATTCTAGTAATCTCAGCTTTAATACTTCCTCTTTATGAGTCCGTTGACTTCCAGGAACCCTTGGGGAGAGACTGCTCCGAGTTGGATGTAAGCCAGGAGTAGCCCGAGGCCTTATCCAACTCTTTTCCAGGAAACAGGATTCAGTTGTGTTTTCACTTGGAATATGTTATATGAAGCAAGTTTAAAACATAGTTGCCTCTGTCCTGGTGACACTTCTCACACTCTGCTCTATCCCATAAATCTGAAAAAAAAAAAAAAAAAAAAAAACCTCCCAAAACTGTGCCCTAGAGAATGCCTGTGGTCCTCAACCTTTTACCTCTGTACCAGACTAAACAGAACATTGCTTTTTTTTTTTTTTCTTTTTTCTTTTAGAGTTTTGAAATAGATTGCTGGCCTGCTAGCCCCGGGCTATCAACGTGTGTCTCTTTGATTATTGGTGGCTGATTTTCTCTTGTGTATCATTGACTAAAGGCACCTCTGCTGATACTCACTGAACTGGTTCTCCTGGAATCTGGTCTCCCTCTTTTTTCCTAGGGAGCTGAATTTCCTGTGGATCTGAGAGGGAGGCTGACACTGCAGCCCTGGCAGGACCTGGGTCATCATGTTGCTAACTACCTGCAGAAGTTGTGGCTCTGGCCTTGGGGGTCTGATAGTGTGAACAACTCTCCTCTTTAGAAGGGAAGGCCTGTGGTTTCGCTAGGTCCAGGTTTCTAGAGCTCCTCTTTTGAGAATCATACTCTGCCTTTGAGCCAGAATGGGCCACAGCATTGGCACTGCCAACCCGCAGGAGCTGTGGTGAGGGCCAACTGAACCAGCTCGACCAGACCTGGCACTGTTGTCAGCCTCTTCTATGAAAGCAGTAGGACCGAGAGTATCCTGTCGTTGAAGGGGTCCCCTTTCTACTGATGCCCCAACTCCATCTGTGTAGCACTTTGGAGAATTTGGGTAGAATGGACTGGAAGCATCTTTGTTTCTGTGGAAACATCCCTCCAGGGTTTTAGTGGAGCATTCTAAAGAGGAGGACTCTTTGGTGGTGGTTTGGTCCAGTGGGTTTGACTCCCAGGAGAGATTTTACCTGATTCTTTTGAGAAGTTTGGTGCTCCTGTCTTTTTTTTTTTTTTTTTTTTTTTAACCCTGAGAAACTGGGAATCGAACTTACCACCCTGGCACTTAGCTACATCCCCACCCTTTTTGTATTCTTTGTTTTGAGAGAGTCATGCTAGATTTCCCAGGCTGGCCTTGAACTTGCAATCCTCCTGCCTCCACCTCCCAGAGTGCTGGGATACAGGTGTACACCACCACTCCCAGGTTTGCTGCTCCTATTTTTGCTCACCTGTTAGTGGTGCTGTGCTCAGGCGGCAGGTAAGAGGGTTTGAGCTCAGGGCAAACCCAGCCCTTGTGGAGCAGCCCTGTGGGCACCCTCTGGCCCGACAGTGTCCTGTAGTTGGTCTCCTGCACACAGGCCCACAGGTTTCCCTGCGGGTAGCCGTGATTACCCACTCCCCGGGCACCCTTTGGTGGTTTTGCAGTGCTTGGCCTCTGTTTCTTTTTTCTTTCTTTCTTTTTTTTTTTTTTGTCTTTTTCCTTTTTGTCAGTACCAGGGATTGAACTCACGACCGCACACTTGCAAGGCAGGCGCTTATGCCGCTGAGCTAAACTCCCAGCCCTCTTGGCCTCTGTTTCTGAGGGGTGAGCATGCAGATCCCCGGCAGTGCTGTCCCCGAGGGGCAGCCTGTCAGCTCCATCACTTACTGAACTGACCGCCCTCCCCCTCAACTCTCCACTGCTGCTTTCTTGGGTCGGCCCAGCCCACTGCCTGCAACTTCAGCCCCTCCGGTGATCCCCACGTCCCTTCCCCACAGGCCCCAGAAGCTGATGGGCTCTACTTTGGGCAGGACCCGTGCCAGGCTGTGGCACAAACTGTCCCCAGGCCTGAAGAGCCTGGCATGTCCTGGGTCAGTGCAGCTCACCTCTCAGGACCAGTCGGACCCACAGCTTTTGAAGGCTTCAGGGGTGTCCTGCCAGTAAGGGCCACCTTCCTGGGCATTCCCTGCACCCTGGGAAGCTTAACAGTGGTGCCGTTGCCCAGATGGATATGCCAGGAACCTGTGTCTCTGTGGACTCTGTCTGTCCTGCCAGGCCTGGCGTGTGTCATGACAGAAGCCCTGTGCCCAGCGACCTTGTGGGGCATGATGTCCCACATTGCCCGGCGGCTGTTTCTTGGAGACGATTTATGTCCTGGAGTATCTTTTTCTGTCTTGGGAGCCAGAAGACAGGAGGCTGACAGCGGCTGGCTTCCAGGCTGTCCCAGGAGATCTGGGGACTTGGCATGAGCCTGCTGGAGAGCACGTGTCCCCTTGCATCGGGTTGTGGGTTGCGATGTGAACCTTCTTCCTTGACAGAGGGCCTCTGGCCTTCCAGCCCAGCAGGCTAGAGGCTGGAATGTGACTCTCCTCCTGTCCGTGGGACTTTGTTAGGAATCAGGCATGACTCAGGGCATCTGCATTTAGGAGCTGCCACCCATGGCATGGTCGGGCACCTCCCCTTCCTTACCTTTTGCCCCACCCTGGTAAAATCAGCGAAGCCAGTGCCTGCCCGCTTGGAAGCACACAGCCTACTTCCAGGATTGGGAAATACCTGCTGACTCAGGCTCAGAAGGGCTTCTCAGGGTGGGTGCGGGAGAGCTGAGCTTCCTAGAGCTACTCTAGGGACCCCGGTGCCCCTAAGCTAAGGATTTTGGGTTTCTTTCCACCCTGCAGTGTCGCACAGTGATCTGGGCATGCGCCTGGCACCCCCCCAGTGGCTACTGCTCACCGACAGATGAGGACGGATGCACCCGAGAGGTAAGGTCACGTCCATGGCAGGGGGCCTCAGGTGGCTGCCTGTCACTGGCACACACTTAGGACCTGGGTCTTGGATCTGAAATCCTTTTACTGGGGCTGAGTCCCAGATCCAGATGTTTATCAGTGTGGGTACCTGCCGCTTATCACCAACACACTCCAAACACTGAGTCATTGAACACCTGTGGCTCTCATAGGCTTTTCAGGAGCACAGAGGTTCCCATCTTCACAGTCACTAATAAATATACCCCACGAGGGCAAGGACTTCCTGTTTTCCCTATTGGGTTTGTGACACTGCCAGGCACAGAAGAGATGCTGAGTAAATGTTTGTGTTTTTTTTAATTCTTTTTTGTCTTTTTTTTTTTTTTTTAAGCTAGTCGAATTTAGCAGTGGGGGAGTAGTATACCAACTTTAGTGTCTTTTTTGTCTTTTTGACAGAGTTTCTCTCTGCAATTCAGGCTGGTCTTGAGCTCACTTTGTAGCCCAGACTGGCCTCAAAGTCACATTGATCTTCCTGCCTCAGCTTCCCAAGTGCTGGGATTTCAGGTGTGCACCACCACCCTGGCTTTGGAAATGTCTGTTGAATGAGTAATTGAGCAAACTTTCCTACCTGTGTGGGTACCTAGGATGCCAGGTCACCAAGAGGCTGGCTGACATTCTCTTTTATTGATGAAACGAATGTTTTTGAGCATCTCCCACTCAGCAGGCTCTGGGAAAATGACAACCAAAGACAGATTGAGTTCCCACCTCCGAGGCCAGTGATCTGCCATGCACAGGACCCTCACGAGTTGTTTCTCCCATCTCTGCTGTGTTACTGGGTCCTCCCTGGCCTGAACAATGCTGTGTCCTCAGGATGCCCGGAGGTTTTATAAGAGCACCTCCAGGGAACCCAATGTTCATTGTGGGTCCCCGCTGGGACCGGGAAACCCAGCCTCCTCTCGGCTTTCATCTTTCTTCTTGGAAGTTGGCAGCTGCAGAGAAGTTTGTGGGCCTCACTTCCCTGACTTTGCTGTAACACCCTGCGGCCTTTCCTGTTGCAACACGGGTGGCGAGTCCTGTGGCTCTCCAGCCTAGAGACCCTTCCTCTGGAAGGAATGTGAAGAGGGAGAAGCGGGGAGGCTTCTGAGTTCCCCGCTGGGATGAGTAAGGAGAGTCTGATCTGCCTTACGTCAGGTTCGTTTGTTTTGTTTCGGTTTGTTTTTTGAGTCAGGGTCTCCCTGTGCAGTTCAGGCTGGCTCTGAACTTACTAGGTAGCCCAGGCTAGTCTGGAGCTCTCAGTGATCCTCCCGCCTCAGCCTCCTTGAGTGCGGGGATTACAGATGTGTGCCACCATGCCCAGCTGTGTCTGGTTCATTTCTGAGCTTTGAGCTCCCCGTCCCATCATTGTGTTAGTTGCCTCTGGCAAGGGTACGGTTGTCAACTTTTGTAGTTTTATTTTATTTTTCTTTGTTAATCTCAAGAAGTCGTGATCGTTGCCGTCTTTGCCTTTCTTATTGGGCACCTTCATGCGCCAAGTGTTGTGACATGTCTCATGGCTGAGCTTTGGCTGCCACCCCTCCTCCAGGGGTGAGGCACCCAGCAGGGGAGAGGAGACATGCACCCAAAAGATGCTTGGGCTACTATAGAGCTGGTGAGTGCTAAGAACAGGTCTTCATGAGGGGAGTGTGTTTAGATGAGCAAGTTGCCCCTGAGAACTGGCTTTGTCCCTAAAGCAACTGGATTGGGCCTTAAAAGAAAGTTTTATTTTGGGCTTTTGAGACAAGGTCTCACTATGTAGTTCAGGCTGGCCTTGATCTCGAGAGGATCCTCCTGCCTCAGCTTGCTGTGTGCTAGGATCACAAGCTCGTACCTGCCCGCTTGGCTAGACAGTCTCTAAATTGTCATGGTGGGCTTGAACTTGCAATTCTTCTGCCTCAGCCTCCCAAAGTGCTGGGATTACCCCACCGTACCTGGCTCTAAGACATGTTAAAGTAACATTTTTAACAAAAAGTAACTTTTTTAAAAATTATTGAGGGAAGTGACATTGTTTTACATTTTTGCCCTACTTTTTATGTCTGGCAAGACAGCTGAGTTCTTAGATCTACTTCTGTATTCAAGTCTGTACAGCGTAGGGTTTTATTGAAGGACATAAAGAAAATCACGAGGTTTGAACCTCATACAGACAGTGGTTTAGGAAGGAGGGAGAATTTTAATAGCCATGGCAGATAATTGTGGGTATTCTTCTTGGATACCATATTTTAACTTGCAAGGATCTAGTTTCCTTAGGACTGGCCACCCTGTGGAGTATGAATAACCTGTTCATTTTTTGGACATTAAAATCCAGTGGTGTTGATGAAGTGAGATATTGGAGATTGAACCTAGAGTCTCCTTTGCACTGAGCTGGGTTTTTATTATCATCATTATTATTTTATTTTATTTTGAGGGAGGGACTACTAAGTTGCTTTGCTGCCCAGGCTGAACTTATTGTGACCCTCCTGCCCCAGCCTCTCAGAGCACTGGAATTACAGGTGTGCCCAACCATACCAGGCTCCCTTGGTATATCTTTTGCATAAAAGGATCATTTACTTGGAATGGGTCACTGGGAAATATCAGTACCCTAAGTTACGTAGGTGTCTCAAATGCGGACACATCTTACTGTACAGCATCAAAAATCATGCTCCTGGTGCTGTCATTGGGTTCATCAGAAAGGTTTCTATGGGCTGGGAAATGGTTAAGCTTATACCATGTACATGTTTTTCATTATTTGGATTGCTTTTCTTGAAACCTTGATTTGTCTCTATTAATATGTTGTCAATTCTTTTTCTTTTTTTTGGTGCTGGGGATCGAACTCATGACCTCATGTTTGCAAAGCAGGCACTTATGCCACTGAGCTAAATTCTTGGCTCCTCAATTCTTTTTATTTTTTTTTTTTTTTGTCTTTTTCATTTTTATCGGTACCGGGGATTGAACTCACGACTGCCTGCTTGCAAGGCAGGTACTTATGGCGCTGAGCTAAATCCCCAGCCCCCAATTCTTTTTCTTGAAGTGACAGACTCACTTCATTAAGAAAAAGTTTAGCTGGGCGTGGCAGTGTGCACCTGTAATCCCACCACTGAAGGAGGCTGAGGTGGGAGAATCCCCAGTTCAAACCCAGCCCGGGTAGTTTAACTAAAATGCAAGTTAAAGAAGGGCTGGTGATGTGGCTCAGTGCAAAGACCTTGGGTTCAACTCTCAGTTTAAAAACAAGTTTGAAGAGGCTTGTTTAAAAACAAGTTTGAGGATTTAGCTCAGCAGCATAAGCGCCTGCCTTGCAAGCAAGCAGTCGTGAGTTCAATCCCCAGTACCGATAAAAAGGGAAAAAAAGACAAAATAAAACAAAAACAAGTTTGAATATGGCCTTGTGGGTTTACTCTTTTTTTTTTTTTTTTCCCTGAGACAGGGCCTCACTTTGTAATCCAGGTTGGTTTTAAACTTATGACTGTCTTCCTGTCTCAGCCTCCTAAGTGCTGGGATTATAGTTGTGTACCACTACATTTGATTTCTATCTCAAAAATAAAAAGTGTGAACAGTTGGGTATGGTGGCTCATGCCTATAATCCCAGCACTCTGGAGGCTGAGGCAGGAGGATCCTTAGTAGTTTGACACCAGCCTGGGCTACAAAGTGAGCTCAAGGCCATCCTGAACTGCATAGCAGACCCTGTCTCAAAAAGATTAAATAAATAAATAAAGGTAAAAAATGTGGGCCAGGGATTTAGCTCAGCAGCATAAGCACCTACCTGGCAGGTACAAGGTCCTGAGTTCAATTCCTGGTGCCCAAAAAAATTAAATAAATAAAAAGCATTGGAGAGGTAGTGGGGTAGAGTACCCCAGGAATCAATCCTGGTTCCACAAACAACAAAAAATTATCCTGATAATCACTGTTGCCTATTACTTTTTCAAGTAAAAAATACGTTTCATGAAAAGAGCAGGTGGTTTAGCTTGGAGCTCATATGAATGCTTTGTTTTATGAGAAAGAGAGAGACAGACAGACAGCCAGTACTTTGCTGAGCTATCCATGTAAGCATCAATCCCACAGCCCACAGTTCTCCCACTTAGGCTCTTGAGTAGATGGGATTATGTTTGTATTTTTGGTATTAGAAGTTGAACCTGAAGGCCTGCTAGCACTGAGCCACGTCCCCAGACTTTTTTACTTTTTTTTTTGGTGGGGGGACAGGTCTTCTAAGCTGCTAAGGCTGGCCTTGAACTTGTGATCTTCCTGCCTCGGCCTCCTTAATACCCGGGATTACAGGCTAGGGGTCAGCCGAGGTGTAGTGAAGCTAGTTTCCAGAGGACACCCTGCCGTGAAAGCGAGCTTTATTGTCTTGGTGCTTCTGAGGGTTGCCTGGCCTTGCTGGGCTCTCCCTGGGGCTCCTCGAAGTTGCTGTGGTCAGGAAGAAGCTGGGCAGCAGCATCTGAAGGAGGCTGGGTGGGGCCAGGCACCCTGCTGGCTGCCTCTGCTGGGTACGTGATGCTGGCCTTGGCTGGCCGCCCCGTCGTGGCCCTCTGTGTGCCCCAGCTTCCTCCAGTGTGGCAGGAGCCGCCCGGAGGGAGTGAGAGTCCTGAGACACCAGGAGGAATGGCCGGTTCATGGGGAGGGAAAGAGGCCTCCTTGGAGACCAGCCTCTGCTTTGTTGTGTGCTCTCAGTGAGGCAGCCAGGTCTGTGTGCAGATTACTTCTAAAGGAGGAAAGTGCATCTTCTCATTTCCTTCCAGTCCTGGAAGCAGGGATATAGGAATATAGGAATATAGGGATATAGGAAGTCTAGCAGCCGGAAGAGGACAGAATGCCAGGAGTTTGCATTGTGCACTTCAGGCAGTGGGAGCCACAGATGGTTTCGGAGCCATGGGTGGAGGTGTTAATACTGCGGGAAGTTGGGTTGGATGGTGAGAGTGGAGGCAGGAGGATGGCTAAGAGACTCCTGCAGTGTTCTCACTGTAAGAAAGTTCTCCTCGTGTCGCGTCCGGCTTCCCTGGGCACAGTTAAGG